GACTGTCCTCCTCGCTGCCTGAAGACCTGCCAATGGCCTTTGTGCCCCACCAGCCATTTTTACTGTGGGATAAATAGCTGCCTGCTCGCTCTGTCTCACCCCTCTCTCCTGCCCGGTAGGAGACAGACAGAGAGGGCTTATAAGAAGCACTCCAACTGCCTCCTCTTTTTCTCCTGGTCTGCTCCTCCTCTTCGTCTCCAGAGCTAAACCTCCAGCGGGAGCTGAGGGGAGAAGCAACTTTCGCTGGGTGTGTTAACTCAGTGGAGGGAGCTACAGTGGAGGAGGAGGAGAAGGAGGAGGCGGTAATGGCTTTATCTGGAGCTGGAGCAGATGAGAGAGAGGAGGCGGAGGGGGCTGGAGCTCTAGAGGAGCTATGTAAGGAATGTAAACTATCCCTGGGCAGCCCGACCCCCTGTCTATCCCTTCTCTCCCTCGCTGTCGGCTGGTGAAGAGAGGAGGAGCAGGAGGTGGTGTCCGAGCTCTCCGATCGACTCCGAGACGAAGCGGGACAGGGTTGAAGGTCAGGGTTAGGGTCAGATGTCAAACCTGTCGATCTGGGGGCCTGAGCCGCCGCCTCAGCGCTGGGACTATGAGACCTGTATGGAGATGATTTAACCCCGTGGTAGCGACCACAACTGCTACCAGAAGTGTTTCTGCCAGACACTCTGTTACTCTGACTGCGCGCCTCTACGTCTGCCTCCTCATCATTTGAGTGCCGAGAGCGGTCGGCTTTGGAGTAAAAGCACAAACCATACGTTAAAGTCTCTTTAGCAGCACCGCTCTCTCTGCTCTGTACTCCAGCTAGGCACTTGTCATGAAAGGGCAGGTCACAACCTTCATTAGCTGAGCTGCAGGGACACAGTCTGTGTCTCTCAGAGCTGCAGGTGAGCTCCTGCAGGTGGCCTCGGCCAACTGCCTTTAAATCCTCACAAGCTTCAACAGTCTTGCCCTGCTGCAAAGGCTTGCTTTGCCTCTCATCAAACAGCTGCCTAATTTTAGTAACACTGGGCCACTTGTCAGAGTGCAGGGGGTGAAAGTCAGTGTAGTGTGTGGCGTGATAACTTCTGTGGGCTTTGCAGGGTGGAGGAACCCCTCTACTGCTAACATCCTCCTCTTCATCTGGAGTCAAAGTCTTTGTGAGCTCAGAAGGAGGTGCATTAATCTGGGAATAGTCTCTCTTACCCGACTTGCCGCCGCTGTCGCTTGATAAACTTCTAAAAATCCGCTTGTCGCTTTTCCTGTCCGAGTCTGAGCCTGACACAGAGTCGGTGCCCGAGTGAAACTTAAGCGCCTCTGCTGTTGCGCTGTCACTGTCCTGGAAATATCCACCACCGACACCGCCGCTGTCCTCGTGAAAAGTTTTCCCAGGTGGAACCCTGTCACTCCTGGAGCCTCGGGCCCGGGGAAAAGCGCTGCTCCCCCGCGTGTCCGCTGCACAGTCTCCCGGCGAGGCTGTGTGCGTCCTGGCGGAGCCGCTGCTGTTACTCCTCCTGCTGTTGCTGAACTTCTCAGTCAGCTCGCGGATGGATGGAGAAATGAAGGAGAGAAGAGAGGGAGAGCCTCTCTTTGGCTCTGCGGTTAGGAGGCTGGCGGTGGTGGCAGAGATTTTGGAAACTTTTCTTGACACACTGACATTACGCGTCGTCGTCGTCAAGGGCTGCTCTGCTTTGCTGGGCTCCGGGGGAAGGGCGACGCCAACTGCCTCCAAATCCCCTGATTTGTGTGGCTGCTCTTCCCTCCTGTTGGCGACCCAGGGCCCCAGCTTTCTGAAAGAGACGCTGCGATACACAGCCGCATTCTTCTCCTCGCTTTCTGCCATTGTTCATGTCTTTTGTTACGGCTCTCACACACGCATTGGAAACTCCACGGGTAGCTGTTACACATCCAAGCACCTTTTCTTAGTTGTGGTCCATCTGCAGTTTAACCTAACAGCAAGAAAAAGGGGGGAAATGAGTGCTGGCAAAGCTTCATATTGCTCTGTAACGAGGTTAGTTAAGTGATAAATAAAGTGTTCAGTGAGTAAAGTAGCTGAGTGTTGCCCTCTTATCAAAAACTTACATGTTGTCGACTCCCGAAACCGTATCCGTGCCAAGTGGGAAAGCGATACAAGTTTTTTTTTTTCTTCTTCTTTGGCCCCAAATCTTCACAAACACAACTTCTCCATTGTTTTCCTCTCACTGTTTCTAAACGTGTGCCCATCGCCAGGCACGGGCCCTGCGCATCATTCCCTAATAATTCCCAAACTGTTTATGGACTCCCTGTTTTGGCATGATTGGCTTTTCCGTGACTTATGTTGTTTTTTGCATGTAAATGCCTGAGATAGAGGCAGAGAGGGGGGTGGCTGGGCGGGACCAGGGGTATAGGGGCAGTCATAGCCCCCCTCGGGGATTGAGAGGAAAAGCTTTTTTTTCCCCCTTTTTGATAGGAGAGGGGATATACTGTGGACTAACAAGATGTAATTATAGCTCTTTCCCTTGCGAAAAAAAACCCAACACACACACACACACACACACACACACACACACACACACACACACACACACACACACACACACAATTCTAAGTGTTTTAGACACTCCAAAATATTTATTATTCAATACCTACAATTTGGACTTGCAACATCTTTATGAAACCTAAAGGATGTCAATGAAAACATAGGTGCTGATTTCCGAGATGCATTCAAGGTGTTACGTTTAAAAATCAGCCTTCAGGGGTAAAAAAAAAATTCACAAAGGAAGCCAAAGAGTTTGAGTTACTGCACAGCTCCAGCAAACTTTGGTGTGATGGTGTTTGTGAATTACTGTGTCAGCATTCAGGGGGAGCTGGTGGTGTTGGTGTGGTGGTGGCAGGGAGGATAAAAGTTTTCACTCGTGCACAATAACCCCTCTGTGGTGCTTCCCATGTGGCTGTCTGGTTAACAGGTCCTTTTGTTCCAACGGGGGAATTCTGTTTCACAGGCTGTGAGAAAAGTACACGCTGGCTGCAGCGCCCCCTAAAGGCTCACTCGTAACACGTCAGGTCAAAGGTGGAGGTTGATGGAAGAACCCAAACGAGCCCGGTGAGGTCAGCCCATCTATCTGTGATGGCATGATGCATTTAAATTGAGGTCATTTAAATTTAAATGACCTTGCAGGGTCCGAATGTGATTTGGATTGAAAGGATTTTTGGAGTTTGTTTGATTGTTTTTGTGTTTGTTAATGTTTTTTTTTTTAAATCCCAGCAAGAAACATTTTCAGGAAATCCCCATCTGCCTTAGTAATTCACTCCTAACCAACCAATTATTTTCTTTAAACACAAACAAATAGGAAGAAGCAGTACTGATACAGGAATTGAAACATTTCTTAATAATTCAGACTAATTCTCTATTAGCTCAAAATCTTTAAGAAAGTTTGTTTGCTTTTTGTTTTTGTTTTTTTAAAGGTTCTCCAAACTTTTGCAAACTTGTTAGTTTTTTTAAAAAAAATTAATTGTATTTCAAAATACACAATATTCTTTTCTGGTGGAGCACCAGTGTGTGTTGAGTTTTTGTTCTGTAAGTTTGTTTGTTTGTTTTTTCACCAAAACCACAGCATTTACATTTTTATTCTAGCTTGTAAAAGTATGAGGTTCACTAATATTTATTTTTATGTCCTTTTGGATACAAACAGCATTGATCTGGTTCAGATACTCTTCTCACATTTTTTCCATCTCTCTACACTGCTGAACACCGAATCAGAGTTCCTTTAACTTGGAAACTGAAGAGGAAACTGCAGCGGGTGGTGAGGGCAGCAGATCGGGCAATTGGCACTTCACTAACCCCCCCCTCAGAGACATCTATACTGGCAGACTTCAGCAGAAAGCCAGCATCATCATCAAACACCCCTTGCACCCTGGACACTCACTCTAGGTGCAGTGACTCCCAAGCTAGGCGAGTGGCTCCAGCAGAGCCCGGGAACAACATCGGAGATCTCTGTCCAGAAGAGCGCAGTCCTGGGAACAGCTAAGATACTGCGCAGGACCCTCAAGCTCCCAGGCCTCTGGTAGAGGACCCGAGCTTGAAGGATTAACCGCCCACAGGGGCGAGTGGGGAATTTATTTATTTCTTTTTATATGTAAGCATGTATGTGGAAATATGTGTGTATGTACGTACGCATGCATAGATGCATGTATATATACATATATGTATGGGTGTATCTGTATGTATGCAGGTGTATGAATAATTTGTACATATCTTTCTTGTGTAAATGTAAATCTGTCTGTGTTATTATGTAAATACTTACTTACGCTATTGTGTATTTCACAGGGAGAGATGCCAAACTGCCTTTCATTGTTCTTGTAACAGTGACAATAAAGAGCTATTCTATTCTAATCTATTCTATACGGCTAATACTGGGCCAGATCCCCTTTTTGTCTTCAAAACTCTTTGTGCTAACCATTAGCGGCTAATGGACTGCAATCTGGTGACTGCGGAGACTGTTCAAGTACAGTGAACTCACTGTTGTGTTCAAGAAAACAGAGATGATTTTCACCTAGAGACCTGCTGCTCACTGGATATTTCCCTTTTTTCAGTTCATCTCCTATAAACCCCAAAGATGTTTGTGCAGGAAAAATCCCAGCAGATCTTTAGTTCCTGAAATACACTTAAATCACCTTTTTTGCCCCATTCTGATGCTTCGTTTGAACTTCAACAATCTACATATGTAAATACACTGCGTTGCTGTATTGTGATCGGCTGATAACGCACTGGTGTTACCTAAAGGTTGAACAGTAGCGTGTAAGCAGATCACAAACTCTTAGATGATGTCTTTTCAGTCATTTGTCACATTATTTAAACAGCTGTCATCATATAATCATATGGATTCAGAAGCTACTGGCTGCTTTTTTATATTCACACCTAAGATTTGAATTCAAGTTCTGCCTAAACTGAACGCTTGAAGTTAAACTACAGTAAAAAATGGGGGAAAAAAAGGAAGCAACACAGTCTACTCCCTCAGTATTAATATATGATTGTGAAAACATCGTGTTTTTCATGGCTTTTAATAGTTTCAGTTAGTACGACATGGCAACAATCAGAAACACAACACAGAAAATTAAGCATCTGTACAGCAAAAAAAAAAACAAAAAACCCTTCAGTTTTAGTTTTTCTATCAACATAATTACATGTCTATAAAAATAAAAGACCATTCCCATTATTCATTTGTTAGGGAATTTGATAAAAATAACTCTTCTAACTAATACTGACGTCTGGGTCTCAATAGATGATAGATGACTGTGACATTCACTTTTTCTAAAGTACAACACACACATATTACATGACTATTGTTACTATGCACAGATACACATGAGCACACATTAGGAAACTGAAGCACATCACCACCTCATACCTCAAAGCTGCACATTCACATTAGACTGACACATACAACAAATACTTAAAGTGTTAACCTGTTACAGGAGCTTCAGAGCAATACGAGTTGAAAGCCGTTTTTCACATTGTCATTTCAGAATTTAACAACATACTGGTCTCAAGCTGGCACAGTCTAGTGTAACATATGAGTTTGGCTACTCTGAAATCTTCTGGTTAACACGAATGTCACAAAATTATTAATCACGTTTATTTCACTCCACGGTAAGTGCATTGTTTGTCAAGAGCTCGTCACAGGGCAAAGACTCACTGTTTAAAAACATGACAAAGGTGCTCACTATGAAAGGCAGGTATGACATGTAAAACACAGGGCACATTTTTACAGTAAACATCAAAGTACACATATGTACATGCAGGCATATGCCATCTACATTTATGTTCATTTCATGAACATTTTAAGTCACCAGATCACGCAGCTGACAACCTACGTCATACAGCTAAATCACGTCAAAGCAGTGCTAAGTACTAAACATTTCATATGTACAGGAATCCCAGTTAGACTGAAAAGATTCACACACTCATAAAAAACCACAGAGTTAATTTAATGCCCTTAACTCCACAATCTGCCTCTATCTTTACCTTTAAATGACTTTTAAAAAAATAACTGAATTAAACATATAATTTAAACTGATTTCCTTCATTTGCTGCAGAATTTATAAGTACAAGACAAAGATCAGTCAGCAACTGACGGCCTATGTCAGCGCGCTGTGAGCTGCACATTTAACGGTTTTCTTGACAATGTTTTATTTGTGACTGTAAGATCTGATACATGCTAACATCACTACTATTATGACAGATGCTCCATTCGGTAAAGTAAATCTGCTTGGCATCTTTCTTGGCCTTCAGACAACAATTCTGATGGCTAAAGATCCAAACGGGACAGGCAAAAAAACCCCCAACCTATTATGACAGAGGCAGTGGGGCTACAGCAGTGGCGTGCGCACACCATCCAGTGGTTAAAACCCGCAACAGCACCTATTACGACATGGATAATGTAGAAACGCATCACTTTCAAGGAAAAACAGAGCTACAGACCTTCATTGGAACGCATAATACTCCACTTTTAAATCAGTGAACATAAACTTCTGTTTTTTGCAGCCTCTGTTTGCAAAGTATACCCCCAACCCCACCTTTCAGTTCCTTTCCTCAGACTAGTGCAGATTCAACATGCAAGCATAAGCACCACCAAAAAACAGTGCCAGAGAGGATTTTAGCCTAGCAAGTTCAAATGAACTATTTTCTCCTTTCCTCAACTGCATCTCATTCCAGCACGATGCATCTCTATCGTAACACCTCGCATAGATACTAAAATTCCCCAATAATTCAGTAGTTTCAATTTAAAGTACACGTCACAGTGTGTTAAACAATGCAAAAAAAGGGGGATTTCAGAAAAAAAAAAAGCAGTGCAGTGGAGTTTGAAAGTAAACATCACTTATGTACAGTGCAGGACATTTTCATTAGAGGATTACAGTATTCCCCATCCAGAGTTATAAACCAAAATCTATGAATTCGCACAATCAAATACACTCACAGTCAGTGTGATAATAATTCCCAGTTCAAAACAATGCAAGCAGGACATTGTCAACATTTTCCATTCACACTGCATTGAGTCTTTATAGGGCACTTCAGATGGCTTCTTCAGACTGTTATTAAACACATTTTTTAGTCACTAATAGCTGAAAGCCTCAAGGACAACAGTTTACTGTAATAAGAGAAGGAACTTCAGAAAAACAAGGTTAGAAAACGAATCCATCTCTGTGTTTTAAATCTTAACAAGGCTTCAAGGAGCACTGTTCGCTCACACGCTGCTGCCTTGGCTCTTTAGAGTGGTGACTCTGCGCACGAACCTCCTGGTGCTCCGGCGGTAGCGTGGTTGCGTGAAGTAAAACAGAATCGGGTCCAGAAAGCTGTTCATGCTGGCAAACGGTCTGGTGCTCTTATAGATGATTGAGAACAAGTTTCTTGTTGTGCAGGGAGCATTGGGCAAGGTGCGCACCACCAGGTACAGAGTCTTTGTGAGGTGAAACGGGAGGAAGCTTACGCAGAACACCGCGGCTACAATAATGATCATCCTCACCGCCCTGTCTCGTTTATCCCCAGGCGCTATGGAGACGCCCTGGTAGGACACTGGGCGGCAGAGGATGAAGGCCATCTTGCAGTAGCAAACCATCACGCCTATGAAAGGCAGCAAGAAGCCGAGGCACGTCAGAGCCATGCCGTAAGGATAGTAGTCTACCGAGCGCCCTGGCGTGCTCAAATCGTAGCACACGGTGCGGTTGCGCTGTTGCCCTGTTGCTGCAAAGTGGAAAGTTGGCGCGCACAGGGAGCCAACCACCAGCCATACTAATCCGCAGACGCACCACACCATCTTGCGACCGCCCTGCTTGTGCCACACCGAGAGAGGGTGGCAAATGGCCAAATAACGCTGCACACTGATGCAGGTCAGGAACAGGATGCTGCCATGGAGATTACTGAAACAGGAACACAGAGAAGAAAATGTTGTTGAGCTGAATATTATCACAATCCATTTGTATGTTCTGCAAAATCAAAGTTTTTCTTCAAAAAAGTGCTTTTATTAAGGGACCTTCAGTATAGCATTTCTAAACTATTTTTTTCATTTCTATTTGCACATGATAACAGAATTATTTCAGAAAAACAAGAGACCCTGCTTATATTTGGAGAAAGAAGGGCAAGAATTAGCAGCAAAACTGGGTCTTCCCTTTGTCAACTCAAAACATATGTTGCTCCTGGTGAAAAACGACTTCCTGAAGACTAAAGTAACCATTAGTGACTGTATGGTGAACTGAAGACCACAGTCCATGCCAGAGGACTATAAAATCTGGAGGAGCTTGAGAGATTATCCAAAGAGGAATGAGCTGTCAGTGTGTTCCCAAAGTGCTTTTAACATCATCTAACAGAAGCTGAAACCACCTCCCCAACAGTGTTTCCTATGATTGTGCTCATTGTTTTTCCAGCACAAAATCTGGCAATAATACCCCTACTGAGGACTATTTCCACCAAAAGAAGATTTGTGCTGGTGGCAAAACCAAAACCAAAAAACCCCCAGATCAAGATCAAAGTTGCAGAAAACAGGAAGAATTCCCACAAGACATGTAGCCAACAGACTCTGTTCCCCGTGATTTTTCTTCAAATCCCAACTTCTGCTACTAATGGCATCCGATGACCATTTCTCAAGAAAGTCCAAATGTAGTCCCGTTCTCAAAGGGCAACTGTGTGTGAGCACTAGCACTATTTCTGCATCTGCATTAGATACCTTGCCATGTTCAAAGGTTTGGAACTTCTTCCATAAACTAGTTTTCATGCTTTACACACCCGTTCACGTCACACTTGTGCGCACTATAATGCAAAAAAGTACATTTTTTCCAGTATACTTAAATATTAGTGTCATTGTCTCCATTCCCATTACTTATCACATCTCAGATCCAATTTTCTTTCCCATTCCTGTCCAAAAATAGGACAATTCACATAATAACACTGTGTCACATATCACTTGCATACACAGACCTTAACAATGAAAAATTCATTCCCAAAAATTACATAATAAAATCTGAAAAATGAGCCAATAATCAACCATGAACCCACCTGTAGAACTGAAACCTGACCATCTTACAGGTAAACTCCCCAAAGGGCCAGTAGTCATGACTCGCATAGTTGTAGATGAGTAAAGGAAGTGACATCACATACAGAAAGTCGGCTATGGCCAAGTTGAGCATGTAGATGTTGTTTCTGGACAAATTGGACCTCTTCCTCCATATCTTCAGTATGACGGTGGCATTCAGAGGAATCCCAAGCAGGAAGACGATGGTGTACACAGCAGGAAGTAAAATGCGCTTAAAGTCTTCCTTGTAGGTGCAGCGAGGGTTAACCGCCCCACTAACACTGCTGATGTTACTGAGAGCGTTAATGAAGCTGTCTGCTGGGTAAAGCTCTGTAGGGTGTGAGAGCAGGTCCACTAAGGAAGTTTTTGAGTTGAGGGCTTCTGTGGGGATGGTGCTGAAAGAATCTGGCATCTTCACATTCTGGAGGAGAGAGAGAGAGACGGGTGAGACTTGGTAGCAAGATTTGCTCGAGATCAAACACGATTACCGAGCTATTGTATTTGATGGAGTACAGACAGAACGTTATAGGTCTTCTTATTATTAGTTGTCTGTGGTGTACAAACTAATCCAGGAAGGCACACAAACAGCCATATTCAGCTTGGCCAACACTGTAGGAGGAGCAGTTCTCTCCTGCTCGTGTATAACCTTGACCTTGAACACAGTTTGGCTGAAAAGCCATTAGGTGATCACTGTGTGCAAATTTCACTAAATTCTAAGAGGAGTGGATGGACGAGTGCCATCACATCACATCATCGATTATTTTGCCGTACAGGCAAAAAAATCAACATTTGTTTTGGATGTAACGGCACACACACACAGCCTTACCTAGAAGACAGACTCCTATTGTTCCCATTTGTTGATTTAACTGGGAAAACACATGAAAGCAATGTTTCTATAGCATGCCACGATTAGACAAATGAAACAGAAAATATGCAAGAAAACAAATGGATGAAATAGAGAGAGAGGACAACTCTCCACCAGAGGGCACAAGAGATCTGCGTCTGTGTTATATCCTCCAATATTACACAAAAGCAGTCACCTTGAGCCCTGTGAACACAGGACAAATACCTCATAACCCGACTTGAAACCTAATAATCTCCTGGGTGTGCTCACTGTAAAAAGGGCTCACTTTGTATTTACGAATACATACGACAGACTGTAAGAACTACAACAAAATAGGTGCTACAGTGAAATAATCATTTAATCTCTCCATCATTTTCTGACAAGTGTAGACCAAGACGTTTGGTCAAGTTTGGAAATGAAAACCACTGCAGACTGTCTGATCTCCCACTCACATTTCGCAACGTCTGGAACAGGCCCACTATACACAAACAGACTTATCAATGATCTTAAATATTCTTCTGCCTTACAACATCAGTCATATCCACTTCCCTCATGGCAGCAGGCAGCTGAGTAAGTGATCTGCCTAAGACACTTCCTCCAAAGCCCGGTGCTTCCTCAGGCTGTTACTCACTACATTTCACAACCAACCAACCAACAAGCCAACCAACACCCTCGAGCCTGCGTCTGTGCTTGTGTGCCAGAGTGTGTACATGTCAGGTATCTCTCAAAGCTGCTTAAAAAACTGTCTTTGGATGTGTTCAAAAAAAGTGTTTTAGGTGAACTCCTCTGTGTGGGTGCGCAGATGTGAACAGAAGTGACGCACAATTTTATAACTCCTGGCACAGAAACTGAGGGAGAGGAGGTGAAGGGAGCAGTGTGCCAAAGGACCACTGAGCATTTATCTGCAAAGATGAATAGAAAACGTTGTTGAGGAGTGCTCTGCAGTCTGTTTTATCTGCTGATGACTCATGCACGACGTACTTCAGATCAGTAATTTGGTTGAAAATCAACTCCGCAAAAGGCCTTGAAGCCAAAATTCTTGGGTAACCTGAAGCACAAAGACCCTGAATTAAGTCTGTAGCTGTTTTCATGTTAAATAAAGTCTGATTTTCATGAAACGCACTAAACTGCAGCACCGCAGAAACAGTCATGGTCCTAGGGCTCTTGCTTTTGCCACAGAGGAGGCTCTATTACTCATCTTTATGTTCAGGCTTGCTTTTAGACGCCTCGCAGAGCCTGACCTGAATAAAACACAATGAAATGTGTAATAGTTTGAGCAGTAGCTCCTGTTTGTAACATGTGTTGGTGCTCATAGTTCATTATTAACAGAACAGTTCAAGGACAAGCAGTAACATGAAAGCTAAGCTATAATTCATTTTACAAAAGAACTAATCAGCTCATTGCCACATTTTCCTTCTTTAGCAGTACCGCAATCTTTCAGACAATACGGTAAGTATAGAGAAAGAGAAGCACACATCCTGGATCCTACAAGCCCTAGCAAGCAAACCACTGGTTTCTAAGTAAGAACTGAGATGTGAGAGGCCAATAAACCACTGATTCCCATGCTGAATATCTGCACCTTTTAGGATAAGTATTGTGGTGGAGATGATTTATGTATCAAATAAAGCCAGATTATTTTTAAAAGGTTTTGGAATAGGGGGCAAATAGAAGTAAAAGCTCTTTCTGATCTATTCATGTTCAGGGCTCATGTCAAAAGTTGTTTCTAGAAAAAAGGGAAACAGATGTTGTGATTTAGTGAAAACATGGACAAGCATACTCGATATAAAGACGAAACTCAGCCTGAACTCTCCTAGGGAGTTTTCTTGTAACTTCTTTATTATTACTAGTATTAGTTTTTCCCAGTTTAGGTTGCCCTTAAGTTTTTGCATTTGCTTAGAAGCTTTTATCAGCCACAATCAATCGGCTCGCTTTTTCTTAAGATTTCTGTTTCATGCCTTTGTTTGTTCGCGTTTAGGTCTGCACCACAATCCCTACTAGGTCCGCATCAGCGGACCGTGACAGTGGGAAAGGCAATCCGTGACTGATAGTGTTTCATTGCATGGGCAGTGTGTTTGGTTTCACTGTCATGCTGAAAAATGAAGCCATTCTAAATAAGACGTTTTCCAGATGGTAATATATGGTGGATTAAAATCTGATGGTAGTATTCTGTGACCATAATTCTATCAATTTTAACAAGATCTCCAACACCTCTGGCTGAAATGCAGTCCCAAACCATGACAGAGCCTAATTAGTTTATTTAGGCCAATTCCACCTGTCCAATTTGCTCACATTTTTAAGGACACAGTGAACACTAGTTTGAACTAATAGCTCTTTACTAATCACCTCATTGGTGCATTAATACTATTTTATGCCTTTCAATCTTTGACATTTCTCATAGATTCAACTAAAGAAATTGGAGTAAATTATGAGTTTCTGCAACAGGCTAGAAACAAAGTGTTTAAAGAAACAATTTTGGTGCTTTATGAAATTTTCTATCACATGTAGACACAACACTGGTTCAGTCTCTTGAGTTGGTGCCTTTTTTATTCTTGAATGCTTCATAGGTCAGGGTTAAGTCACTTAAACAAGAAAACAAAAAACATTCTACTGAAAATGATCAGAAACAAGGACTGGAATGAAAATGAGTGAAAAAGCAGCCAATGTCCAAAGAAAGACCTTTAGAAAGCCAGGATAACTGCCTAAAAACTGCCTAAAAAATGGTGCTACATTTTATATGGCATAACCCAGAGTAACACGCGCCAAAGAGTGCTGTTGAAATCTGAAGCATGCACAGTGTGTGTGTAGCTATAAAAATGCAAGCATTCATGCCTGTGAGTGAGCCTCTAAATTTGTTACCCTTTGTTACCATTTGAAAGTTTCACTGAGATTTAAATCTCATTTCCAAGACAGACTTGGCAACGATTTCAGGGTAAGAAGTGTGCTCCATTTATTCTAAAATAACCTATTAGTTTATCAATATAAGGAAATATTACTAAAAACACTAACTTAAACGAACAAAACTTCACTCACTGAACTTCCCTAGTACATGTGAAGCTAACATAAACCTGCTCAATACGCGTTCTCTTTACATCCTTCCTGAAAAGATTCAGTCATTTAAATGGTGCAGTAATTGGACTATTTAGAGATTTTTAGACCAAATCCTGATATGTTGTCGTCTTTATTGTAATTTTTTTTCCAGCATGCAGATACAGTGTATCAAAGTTATAATGTAAATGGAAAGATAAGCTGACATTTAAGGTTATCTGCACTACCAGGAGAGGAAAAAAGAATTACAGAAATAATACAGATGCTGTTTTCAGTGCTAATAGTAAAGAAAACTCTTACCTTTAAAAGTATTTAATCCAGATTGGAAAAAAAAAAAAAACTTGTTGGAGAATGCGGGCGTCGATCCCGCTACCTCTCGCATGCTAAGCGAGCGCTCTACCATTTGAGCTAACTCCCCTTCATGCTGTGTGCTGCAAAAATAAAGCCTTTAGAGGCACACACCCACAACCCTGCTCACTGACGTAATGTGATCAGTTAATGACAGGGACACTTTCTCTTTGCGATACACACACCCTCACAAACACCCTGCTGCATACTCTCCACCCTGAGGACTGCCAAAAGGCTGAGCTGAGCAAGTCACACAAGGTTATTTATAAACCATGACTGCAAGAATGTGACTGCTACACTCAGGACAAATATAGGAGATTAATAATTCATCATAACAAAGCCGTAAATCAAATGACACCTAGACTGCATTAATGATTATTCTGCATGTGGATATGGTGTCAGGACCTTTGAACTTTGATTAAGGTAATGCAAGGTAACTCTAACTACGTCAATATCACAAGTAATGACTGATAGCAGAGCCCAGCTTATATTTAAACCACGTAACCCGGAGAGTGCACTTACTGCCTTAAGGCTCTGCGTGTGTTTTTATTGCGGTACTATGAAAAATGAACATGACTGTGTAATGTAAACCAGCAGAACTTTAAGGTTCCTCTCGGTGTTACAGAAATTTATGAGGTGTTTTAAACTCATTGTTTGGTTTTGGTGTTTAGGCCAAGAATAGAACTAGAGACACAAAGTCACTAACCAGATGTGTAATATGGCAGAAATCTCTACTAGGAGTAAGTGGAGCCAGAAGAAAAATGTCATAAGCCAACAAATGTCTGATTTGTATGTGCAAACATGTCCGACATAAATTTTATATTAAACGTGGTGTTCCTACTATTATTATTATTCTTAATGTATGTTTCTGTCTGATCCACAGATAAAACTCCAAAGAGACATTTGGAGAGAAGAGATAATGGATATGTTTCCGTGGACGATTCTTATATAGCATTTTTCTACTCTACCTAAGCACTCAAAGCGATTTAGACTATGTGCCTCATTCACCAATTCACACAAGCGCTTTATTCTCTGCTTTTTCCTACTGAAGTGCTTTCTATCTAACATGCATGCTATGACGGAGAGCAACTTGGTGTTAGTATTTTACCTAAGGATATCTGGCATGCAGACTGGAGCAGCCAGGTGTTGAATAGCCAACCTTCCAAAGAAGAAGAAGTCCTACA